TATCCTGCCAGGGCACGAGGAGAAAGCAAATCTGTGTCCCAGAAGCTATGGAACTGCTGGCGGCCGTTGATCCTGCCCCACAAGCTGCTAGTGTCTCTGGGGATGAAAAAGGGAATCCTAGAACCATCCCACTGCCCTTGAACAAGCTGACATGGCTGGCGTCCTATTGACGTGCACCAAGAAGAGCCTGTCGGTTCAGCGCTAGGCCTGCCTCACTCATCAGTGACAAACTCGGAGCCTGAACTCTGACCAGCCTCAGATTGTGTTATCTAAACCAAGGAGCGGTGGTATTGACGCACCTTAAACATGTATTTTCCAGGGCAGTTTCTGCCCTGAGTTACCTCTGTGCTAATCTGTTTTTTATCTATCACCTTGGTACCCAGCCCTCATTGGAGTCCTGGCGTGAGAGTAACTAGAATCTGCTACAGTACTGGTCTTGCCTTGTATCTGCACCCATTTAGGAGCACAGATACCGCAAACTGGGGCTTGCTTGTGCACGTACTTAACCCCCAGCTGGTTCACATGCAACAGGGGGGCCTGTGCAAAAACATGGGTGCCCTTGGGAAGGCTTGTCCCTGAATTGCTGCCCTGATCCCATGTGACTGTTTTAGAAGCAGCTGCACTGTGCATGGTCATACACACGCAGGGTTAACAGAAAAGCTTTTAAAGCAATTTCTAGCTATTTGGGGGAAATGTTTCACTATCTGCTGAGAACTGGATTAAACAGGTTGCTGTTCACGGAGGCAGACTCCAGTTTGGCTGCTGCTGCTTAACTGTTGAATAGTTTAGTTTGCTATAGTTCTTCTTTGCCTGACTCTCTCACATTGCTAGACAATGACAGAACACGAGGTGCGTCGGCTATACTTTGTTTAGCTAGATGTGTCAAGGCTGAGCAGCTCAAGGCAGTGAGATTCAAATCCATCCAGGGACACAGAACCAAGGGAACGTGAGGTACAAAATCAAAGGATTTTATTCTAAAAGCCCCACCCATGAGTTATGGATTAAACGATATAAGTTTTATATATATATTTTTTTGCAGAATCATCATGGAGTGTGGATGCAAAAGGCAACCAGGATTCACAGCTGAGTGGACTGGGGATGAATCCGGTTATTTCTGGATTCCTTCCCCACCTCCTATTAGAAACATTGTACTCCTGCTGTTTGGGCCAGATCCAAACATGCTCCCTCATGCAAAACTCCCATTGCAATCAGCGGGCCAAATTATTAACATTATTATGTGTGTTGTGGTAACACCTAGAAGCCCCAGACCTGGGTCCCATTGTGCAAGGCACTGTACAAACACAGAACAAAAAGATCTGCTCCTAAGATCTTGATTTACTTCCACCACTTCCCTAGATATGAAGTCAAGGGAACCATGAACATACTTTTTGCTGAAAGGGTGAATAGTTTTGGGTGAAATTTTGCTGCAGTGTTGTCCCTGGGTTTGCAGAGATTGGCTTGAGACAGACTCTAGAAAAGCATTCAGAAAACGGGGTCCTATTGAGTAGAGTGTCCAGGTGTGGGTGTGTGAAAATGGTGGTATTCTCCTCAAATTCAATTTAGACCCCGCTCAGAGTAGCTGGGCTGGGTCTGTGAAAACGATTGGCACTGAAGCAGTTAACAACGCTGATGCTGAAATTGTCCTTACTTAACGTTTCAAAGGTTGATACCCTGTTGAAATAAAAGGGACAGTTCCTATCTTTCCCCTGAGCTTTTGTTTCAGGCTCTCTGCAATCTCAGGTTGCATCGCACCACATAGAGAAAGTGATTTTTCCCCCCACAGCAGTAATGGCTAGAAACATACATGCATATTTTAATTAAAGCTAAATTTTGTACAGGAATGTAACAGCCCCGCAACAAAGTGCAATAGGGTGTGACACTTTGGCTGGCTCCAGCTAGGCTGTGGAATAAAAAGGCTATTCAGGGAGCTTTAGGATTGACTGATGTTTTTGCTCGATGTGGGAGACATCCTCTAGGCAAAGGAAGGAAACATAGGCCGCAGAGTCGAAATGTGCTCTGCTGGAATCATGGTAGCATCGTAATTCTTTTAAAATTTGATCAGGCTGCAATGATAAGACCCTGGTTCGGCAGCAGAGGCTGCACAGACGTGCAGGGCTGGGAATTAGCGAGGCAGACTGCAGTGTCCTTCGGTGACTTCCAGCCCTTTGTTTGACGCGTGCGCGCACACACACGCGTCACTGGGATGACCCAGTTCCTCCCGATCACTTGTCATCCCACCCTTCCCTTCACAGGGCCCTGCGGAAGAGCGGGCCTCTTTTGAGGAGATAAATATAGCCCGTAAACAAGAAAACAGGATGTGTCCACGGGTGATTTAAAAACAAACTTCAAGGGGGGACGATCAGCAGCCCTCCGGTTTGTTCAATAACAGGATCCTCCTCTAAACATGCCTGGTGAAAAGTTGAATGCCCGCAGTTTGCAGTTCTGAGACACCACTGTGCAGCCGAGGTGGTTGTTTCCCTCTGTTTTAATCCTTTTAAATTACTTCCTGATGCAGCGGGGTCCGGATCTTACCTTGGATTTCTGCTGGGGATTGAAAACAAAGGGAAAAACAGTAGATCGCAAAGCACGTGGCAGTCCCGGTCATACAGATGGGAAACTGAGGCACAGAGAGGCCAATGACTTGCTTATGGTGACACAGGGAGTCTGGGGTGAAGCAGGAAGTTGAACCTGGGGCTCCCAAGTCTTACGCTCGTGGCCTAACCTCGTTATCATCCTCCTCCTTAGGTGGCCCCAGAATCTCTTGAAGGGGAGGAGAGTTGAGCCTCCCTTCAAAACTCTGTAATTCCCCTCACCCTTAACTCTGCAGGCATGGGGTCTGGTGAGGTTGGGGGGCAGAGCCGTGGGAATTCCCGCTGAGGCTGAGGTTCGCGGGGTCCTGGTGACAGAACGGCCCTCTGCTACGCAGGACTGACCATTGGAGGGAAAACTCCCACCATCACCCTAGCATGGTACAGCTCCACCAAGCGGGGGCGCTAGTGTGCAGAGTCAGCCCCCATGCCGCCTAGGCTTGCTCAGAGCAGGGTAAGAGGATGTGGAGGTAGGAACAGCAGTGCCTGGCCTAGGCTAGCACTCCCGCTCTAGCTAACGCTGATAGAGCTCCGGGAGCTGCAGCCAGAGACTTCCCTCAGATTGTCTGTGCTGGCAAGGCCCTCGCTGTGGCCCCTTTGGGTCAGGTTTGTGGCATGTTGACGGGGACGGTGGAGGAAGCTTGCCTTGCGGCTGCTGAACCTGTTCTCTGGATCGCTGGGGGACTGCAGGCAGCCAGGAAGGAGAACTAGGCCTGGAAGGCAGCCAAGCAGCGAGTGCATCTGACTGCCAAGAAATGAACTTAGGAAGTGAAATCGGGGCGAGAAAACAGCCCCCGCGCTCCCGGGTTCCTCAGGCTGGGCCAGGAGCGGTGGTGGATGCAGCGGGCGCTTAGCAACTGGGGGAAAAGCAAATAAAATTCTGGGATACGTGAACAGCGCCAGGGAAAAACTGACTCTCGCCCAGTGACAGGAAAGAATGAGGCTGGGCTTGGGACTTCGTGCAGCTGCTCGACTTCAGGGCAGGTGCCGAGGCTGCTTGAACCCACCTGGGAGGCAGGTTTGCTGGTCTCTTCCTTGTGCTTCGCCTCTCACGTAGATTTTATCTGCAGAAAAGCCAGTGACCCTTTTACATCCCTCCCCCTCCCAGTCTGCTTATGTTGAAGGTGGGAGGGCAGGCGGGACTGATCCAGCCAGGGTCAGAAGCTGGCGTCTGAGGCGTGAATCCAGGCGTGCAGCCCCTGCTACAACTTCCCAGAGGCAGGAATAGCCAGTGCAGAAAGGTGGGTGAGGCCGACCCTCTGCCCTGGCCCTGTTTGGGAATCCAACGCTGCTGTCTGCGCTAGGCTCCCTCAGTCTCTGGTGCTCTGCTTGGGCCCTGCCCCATGGCATGAGAGAAAGTCTGCTTCCCCTCCATGCACCTACAGGCTGGGTGCTCGCCAGCCCTTATAAACAGGTCCTCTTCCTGGGCGTCACTGCCTGCCATGTTTATTACTGCGCCAACCGTAGCTTGCGCTTGCTCTGATTATTGGCCCTAGGCGAGTGGGGAGATTTACAGGCCTGGGGGTGAAGTACCTGACAGCTGACTGGGTGACTTTGGACTTAGCAATTTGCCTAGAACTGCCTTTGGACCGAAGGACTGGAGACGACGGGGAGAGCCTGGCCTCCGGATAAGAAAGAGACACTGCCTGGGGTAGCATGTGTACTAAACCTGAGGTAGAGAGACCCCTCTGTATCAAGTCTCCTATCTCGTTTGCTTGTTCCTGCAGGGGAGGGACAGATCCTGTTTCCCTCATGTGACTCCTCCTGTTAGCCCCCAGCTCCCTGTCCTATGCTCCAAGCACTTCTCCTCCCTTGCAGGGGTCCAGCACCGCCATGCCCTGCTGCAGGCTGGATTCCCAGCCCGGAGCTCTCTCCTCCCAAGCTGCAGGTGCTGAGAGTCCTGGGAGCAAGGTGCTGAGCTCCAGGATGAGGGGCTGTGTGCGTGGTAGAAAGGGCTAAGAGTGTCGTCTTTGATTTGCCACAGCAGGTTCTGTCTAACCTTCCTCAGCTGCGAAAACGGAGGCCCATGAGGTGAAGCCACAAGGCTCCAGCTGAGTTCAAGGCCCCATTGTGCTAGGCGCTGTACAAACCCAGAGTGAGCGAGTCCCTCCCCAGGGAGCTCACAATGGTAATAGATAAGGCAGGTGGACGGTGGGAGGGGGAAGAGAGGCACCCAGCAGTGAAGTGACTTGCCCAAGGTTCCCCGGTATATCTGTGACAGAGCCAGAATCGACCCCAGATCTCCTGGGTCCCAGTGCAGTGCCCCACTGGTGGTCTTCTGTAAAAGTTCCTTCCGCATTAGAGACTGTGGAAAACCTTTCCCCCTGGCCTGGCTGTCCAGGCTCTCCCCCCCGGCCCCACACCTTTCTCATAACCAGCGTGCTAAACACATTTCCCGTGTTTCCTGTCTAGTGAAAGTGGACGCCCGTTCTTCCTATACCTAGCGCTGGCCCATATGCACGTGCCCTTGGTCCTCGCTCAGCCTCCCTCCAGCTCCTCGTTCCCTGAGCCATACCGAGCCAGCCTGAGGGAGATGGATGCCCTGGTGGGACGGATAAAGGACAAAGTTGACGGCTGCGGGAAGGAAAACACATTCCTTTGGTTCACAGGTGAAGCAATAAAACCAGCTGCAGTAACAGCAGAGCATCTCGATAACTGACATTTACATACTGCTGGGATCCGCAGGCAAGGCGAGGGGTGAGCGGGAGCCACGTGCAAATGAGTAGGGACAGCCCTAGCATTGTGTTAGGGGCTGAAGTGGGGCTTAATTTGGGAGAGAGGAGGACTTGTTCACAGCCTCTGCACAGGGGGTTGAATCTCATCTTCCATGAACTCTGCTCCTTTGTATTCATCTGCGTTAAACAGTATTAAAGCCACAGGCCAAGCTCTGCTCTCAGTTATTCTGGTGTGAACTGGGAGCTGCGGCACGGGGGTCAGTGGAGTTTCACCGGTGTAACCGAGAGCAGGATCTCTACGGGTCTTGTTTCTTCCATTCCTATTATCCTGCCTGTCTCACGTTCCCCTGCCATTTTTGTTGAGTCCCCTTCCCTGGCCCTTCTGTCGAGCAAGGCGAACCAGCGTAGGACAGCCCTGTGTAAGCCAGAATATCAGGGGGGCGACAACAGGGGTGGGGAATAAACCCCTCCTGGCCAAGTGGGCTTTCAGGGAGATGGGGAGCAATGGACAAGAGGAGCTGCAGGCACAATATGGACTGAGGAGGTTTGGTCGGTTGCATGCCCAGAGCAATACTCAAAGCTGGATTGTGGAAAATGCTGAATGGTGCCTGGCCTCAGGTGAGACCCAGGAGACACCACTGAGAGCGACACGGTTACTCTGAGGAACTGGCTGTCAGGCCCACCCTGAAACTTGGGGGACTCCTCTCCCCTTTAAAATTGGGGGTGTGGGGAATGGGGGCCAGGATCCCCAGAGAGTTTCCTCTGGATTCTTCTGTTGGTCAGGACCTGCCTGAGGTGCTGGTCCACTGGCACTCAGATACCGTGCAGATGGGGGGGCTGTAAATTTGCCAGGATAGGTCAGACTCACCCGCCTTGGGGGTTGCTAGGGAGGCTGGACTCCCCCACCTGCTTTATAGGCAGGGTTTGGGCCTCACAGGCCCGTGCTGCTCTGTCAGACTCGGAGATGATCCCTTCTGTCAGGCAACTTGTTTTCCAACCGTCTCCACACCCCCCGCCCTCCCCAGGCTGCCCCACTTCAGGCGGGCGGATGAACCTGGACATCCGTGTCTACAAATTAAACCTCAAATCCCCGTTAATTAAAAAACCCAAATCCGCTCTTGCTGAGACGCCTCCCTAATGAGGATGTCTTGCTTCACTGCCATTCCGATGACAGGAACAGCTCTGCGGCTCATTAACGCCAAATTGCTCTTGTCCCCGCTCCCCCGTCTTAGACTCAGTCTCCTGAGTGGAAGTTCAGCCCCCTTGAGAAAACATGGCCCTGTTATTTGGAAATAACCTCCATTGTCAGCCGTTCAGTCAGTCCTCATTCAAGCGCCTGCCGAGGTAAAAAGCCGTCAGGTGCTGCAGAGGAGGAGAGCAGGGGATTGGTTGCCTCTTTAAAGGGCCTATGAGCTCCCCCATGGGGAGAAAATATCATCCGCAGCAGCTCCCCACTTCCCCCCAAACATCAGGGGACTCTGTCTGGAGCACCCACGATTGAGAGAGGCCACCAGACAATCTGCTCCGTGGAAGCTGTGTGAGATTGGGCCATCCTCACTCAGTTTCCCAGGTGAAAATCAAAGTAACGCTTCGTTTTGATGGAGCTGATCCGAGTTTATGCCCTAGGGACGGAGGCTAGCTTCTCTCCCATGGCCTTCATGGTCTGACTCGTTCGCTGTGTTTCAGTCCAACTTGTCTGTGTCAGGCTGTTACTCACTGAGATGTTTCTCTCTCCTCCAGGAGACAACGGCCCTTGGGCTCAGAAGTGCGAGCTTGCAGGGAGCGTGGGCCCGTTCTCCGGGGCATGGCAAAGGCAACGAGGTAAACGATGAGGCTGCTCGCAAAGCTGTTAGCATCTTGGTAGCCGTCGCATCTGACCTGCTGGGAGCTGGGAGCCTTGTTCAAATCTGGCCACCAAGCAGAAGGGAGAGATAGGACACTTCCCTGCCTCTGGCAGAGTTCACTACCAGCTGTCTGGCTACTGCTGCACCAGCTCTGCCATGGATTGATTTACCTGCAGAGCTCCAATTTCTGAAGAGCAAATTTCTTGCCTTTAGAATGGACCAGCTAGTACTAAATGGCAGGTGTTTCCCCAAAATGTCACGGGGCATCCGGCTGAATTTGGACACATGCCCATGGAGCCTCCTGGCCCCTCCCCCATGCATGGCCCTACCCCTTCTTATGGAAGCAGCAGCCTTCAGATGACTGGAGAAGTTTGCGCCTCTTGGAGCTATTGTCTTAGGCTGTCTGCAGACTCAGGCAGGTATTGTTCACACATGGCTCATCTTTCAAGCTTTTCTCTTGTTGCACAATAGTTACAAACATAATTTTTTAACTGACAGCCCCTAGGTCTGGGCCTATAGTGTGATATACTTTAGCTTCTAGAGAGATATAAAACTATAATCTGGCCCTGACGGAGAAGGATGCTGTGAGATGCATATAAAAGGTCTTCAAGTCCACCCAGCTCTTGAGAAAAGAACAGGAGGACTTGTGGCACCTTAGAGACTAACACATTTATTTGAGCATACGCTTTCGTGGGCTACAGCTTATGCTCAAATAAATGTGTTAATCTCTAAGGTGCCACAAGTACTCCTGTTCTTTTTGCGGATACAGACTAACACGGCTGCTACTCTGAAGCCAGCTCTTGAGGTGACCCAAGCTGAGACCTGGGCTCTGACTGTGCTGAGAATTAATTTAGAGCTTGGATTTTATTGTCCTGGAAGTGCTGAGCTCCCACTGACTTCCGTAGGGGTTCAGGGTGCACTGTGTTTCTGGAAATCAGGCCTGGAAGTGTGTGTCCTTGTAAGCCCTAAAATCTAACTGTACGGAGGTGGGGTTTTAGTATTTGCTGTCTCCAGCGGAGCCATCTGTGTGGTGGCTTTGATTATTTACACGCAAGCAGCCCAAAGTCTCCAGCATGACTCAGGCTTTTCCCGCTTCTGCTTGTGTTACGCACTGTGAATGTGTGTCGGGTTACATTTCCCCATTTGCTCCAGGACGGAAGGGGAGGGGGCAGCGGAGGGAGGCAGCATCTCTTTCCTCATCTGTTTCCTGACATCTTCCAAATATAGTAGAGGTCCGGAGGAAACTGATGTGGGATTCCGAGAAAAGGCGGCTGTGGGGCTGGCCAGCCAAACAAGGGGTACTCCCTCTTCCTGGCATCTTTTTGCAATTCTTGCTTGGTTATTTTTTTATACTTTTTTTTTCTCTCCCCTTCTCCACCTCCCAAAAATCAGCAAATAGGGATTGTATTCTCTTCTGACCTAATAAAAAAATAAATCTTTAGCAACAACCCAACACACCTATGAGCAACCAAGCCTATGATAACAACAGGCAGCCTAGCACCCACTTGCAACGCTACAAGAACAAACCAGGGCTAGCAACTCACTGCTCACAGACAACCCTACAGATCAGACCTCACAGAAAGGGGAGAAAGTCCATAAGGATATAGAAACACCTGTCAGGAGCAGTGATTTTTAAAATCCCTCTAGGTTCCTTCTTAAACTTGATGCAAAAAACGAATATTTACAGATATTTCCAAGTGCCTCTCATATCTTTGTTCTATAGCATCTCAATCCTATAGGTGCTGATCTCTATTCTATTGCCTCAGGTCTCTTTTGTGGTCTTATGGATGTGGTTTGCCTATCCGGACAACCCCGGAGTATGTGATCTGTCTGCCTGTTTTAGACTGCCGCCCATCACTGCAATACCTGAGCACCTACCATATAAAATCAGTCCCTGCTGGACTTCATGGTGTCTCTGCTACTTCTCCCTCTTTGGGCTCAAATCTCTGCTTGGGAGAGGGTGTTTGTGGGATTTTTTTGGGTAGAGGTTTAGGGGAACCAGGGAGGCTGTCCGTGTTGTGAGTGTCATTCCTGTGGTGACAAGGCTTTTTATATGGGTTGGGTGAGGCCTGAAACTAGCTGGCGAGTTTACAAAAGAACATTGGTTATTAATGAAAGCACTTTTCAAGCAACTTGGCTTTTCCTTAGGCCCTGATCCAAATCCGAGGAGTCTTTCTAGGGACTTTGATGGGCTTTAGATTAGGCCCTTCCTGAGGGAGAATAGCAATACTGCAGTCTTGGCTTTTTCCCACCCTCTCCGTGAGCTCTGCACAGCAGAATAAAAACTTTGCCTCTCCTCTGCAGCAGCCCCCAAACCGTTGGGGAAACTGTCTCCCCATCTCTGGCTGGTTGGGCCCTTAGCTGTTACACCCTGGAAGGGCTGGTACTGTAAGGAACCCTGATGTGTCCAAGGCGATGCAGTTGACACATGAGGAGGCGCTGGAGGTGTGTTGAATTTGCCATGGAAGGAAGCAGCAGACCCACCATCACCCCTCCCAGGCATATGGGGATGGTGTCTCCCGGCACGGTTCCCTCTGTTTTGTACCTTGCCTGGGAGTCGCACTGAAAGGGGGAGCAGTGCCGTCTCCCCGCTGGAAACGTCCTAGTTTTTGACCTATTGTTGGGATGGATTTGTTATTACTTGCAAGAGAATGTTCTGTACTATCTGGTGTCAAGTTTTTGTAGAAAGCCTTGGCCTTTGTAATTTGATGGCATCACACAATTGTGCAACCTTTATCACTGAGAAAAATCCATGTGGATTTTTTTGTTTTGTTTTGCTTCAGCGTAGTGTTTACTACTGAAAAGGTCACCCTGAGCCTGTCAAAAGGCTGCTCTGGCGTCCTGTGTAACTAAACACACCCCAGTACGTGGTATAGGTAGCACAGCTAGTGAATATCCCTTTGACTCTCTCTTGCTGCCGGCTATGAGTCATTATGGGTTTGTATACGAATCACTTGACCTTACTGTGTCTCAGTGAACCCAGCTGTAACTTGGTACAAGCGAAACCTTATTTAAAAAATACAAGGGCCTCTTTTGACCGTCCATAGTCCAAATAAAATTAAAAATCTGGGACAGAGGCTGATTTAAGCCAGAGATGACTGTACATAGCACATAGTTTCATATTTGAGTTCCTTCAGAACTCTTGGGTGATACCTAGGGTGACCAGATAGCAAGTGTGAAAAATCGGGACAGAGGGTGGGGGGTAATAGGAGCCTACATAAGAAAAAGCCCCAAATATTGGGACTGTCCCTATAAAATCGGGACATCTGGTCACCCTAGTGATACCATCTGGTCCTGGCGACTTATTTAGGCTGGAGCTCTAACCACTGGATTATATTTCCTCCCTGGCTAGAGGTAGACCCAGGTTTGTTGGGAAATGAACTAGTGGGTAATTAAGAGTAGGGGAAATTGTTTGTGATGTGGTCAGGAGGGAGTTAGTTTAAAGGTGCAGGCCTGGCAGGTATGTGTTTGTATGTATATTTCAGCAATCTGGAGGGTGCAGCTTTCATGTACTGGAGTTGTTTCCAGTTGGTACTGTACAAACACACGCATGTACACCCCGCCCCTGTAGCCAGCCCATGAGGCCTGCACATAGAAACAAAACCAAATCAGCAGTAACCGCAAGCTAAACATTTCTCTGTGTGTTAGATTCTCACACAACATCAAAGGCTTATGGAAATAGTGTTCCCCAGCTACATGTCTTGTGAAACCAGCTCTGCGATTTTTCTATTGCTCATCAAAACAGATGAGAAGTAAAAGGTACTGTTAGGAACTTTAGTCTGGAGGGGACCTCCGGGTCATCGAATCCATTTTCCAACCCCAAATCTTTGTTAAAAAGGGCGAAAGTGGGAAATCCAGCTAACTTTTCTCTCTCCTCCTGCTCTAAAAAAAGAACTCTGTAAGTTTAAAACCCCCAAACGTTGGAAGGACTCAAAATGTACAGGATTAAGCCATGCATGGGTCTGGTGCTGGCCCAGGGTGAATTTCATCCTAAAGAAACTGGGAGCTGGGAGGAAGCTACTCTTTGAATTCACTTCGCTGCAGGATTTTTTTTTTCCTGACACAGCTTCACATTTCTGATGCAATCCTCCTGTTTTGTAATTTGTTTAGTATCCGTGACTCTGAATAATTCCTTTACTTTGTATCAGGGGAGGTTTGGGTTAACGAAAAGCTCCCGTGCAGAAGGGCCACTGTGAGTATACCTGTCTGTCTTCCAGGTGGGAGTGCAGCCAAGCAAACGACCTGGGAAGGGGGACATCGTGTTCCGGCGCTGGCTTATTGGCCTGGCAGGATCCCTGCAAACATGACGAGCGCTGCACTGTTGAGGTAGGAGGACAAAACTTTTTTGTTTTCCCTAGGTGAGGTCTTATGATCTAAGCACAGGACTGGGAGCCTGCATCAGGAGGCCTGGATCTTACATAGTCTTTCTCCCAAGCAGGTAATGGGCTTTCAGGGCATGAGCTAAACTGCTGGCATTTCTGCTTTAAACACTGGGAAGCAAACCATGATCTGTCGGCTTGGTCCTGACAGATGAGCCTTTGCTCAATGGCTCAGAGGGAGGTAGAGGAAAATCCAGGATCGCTGCCAGCGTGCCTGCGGGGGGATGTTCCTGCCTGACCTCAAGCTGGGCTGTGGATAAAACTGTGTATCGTGCGGCATTGGTGGAATCCAAGTCTTTGTCCTTCTCTTAGTGAGGGCCAGCCCGGCGAACCCTGCCAGGACAGCCCGAGGCAAAACATTCCAAGGATTAATCCCCCTTACAGGGAAGAAAGGAATTGTGATTATACACAAAAGCTGTGCTCCAACTGATCAGAGCAACTGTTTGCCTAGCCTGGTCCCCTGTCACGGAGTGGGGTGGGGGAGGGGTAGCCAGGACTGGATGCTCTAGGAAAGAGTGTAAAGCCCACATCCGCCGTTACCGAACGCATCGCAGCTCTGAGTGGGAAAGGGAGAGACTGGATTATCTGCTGCTTTTACGTCTACCAGACCCAGTCCAGCAGGTTTGACAGCGATAACTCTAGGAAGCTGCCAGAGTTTCAGGGCGCACAGTTGTGGCTGGATTAGAGAAGGAGGGGGCTGAAGGGCACTTGCAGACTCTCAGAAATACCCAGTTCCAGATTTTTGTTGTTGTTAACGATGAAATGCTCCAGTCCCGCACAGCCCCAGGGGCGGGCAATCCAGCTTTATGCACTATCCCGTGAAACCCACTGACCATGCTGGGGGCAGCGAACAGCACTACAGTGCAACTACTCTGGTCTGGAGCCTGTGGGTTCTCGGTCACTAGACTGACATGAGCCCAGATCCATAGAGCCCTGCGCGGATGCAAGATTTGTATCTGCATCTGATCCGCAATCTGCTAACATGGTCCGTGGATATCTGTGGACCTAAAGCAGATATCCGCAGATCTGCAGGTCTCTACCGGTCTAGTGCCTCTAGCCTGGCCTGCATCCAGTTATCTCCTGTGCACTGACGGGGAGTCGGTGTTGGACAAGGGAATTTAAAGACCACAAACTCTGAAGAGGTTTAAATAACTTCAGATCAACAAAAGGCAGGATGTTGCAAGTGAAGGGCTGACTGCTTGTCTTTGAGGAACTCCACTCACCCGCCACATCCGGTGGTGACGCACATGGTGGTGACGTAAATCAACATCTCAATAAATGGGCATTAGTGAATGTCAATCACACACTGGGGGGAAAGGGCAGGACAGTTGTAGGAAAAGTGGGAATATATACAACGATGTTGAACAAAGTGGAGCCCTGGGATTTTGTAGCCCGTCTAACGGATTGGGTACAGGGCCAAGTTATCCCGAAGCTGTGGGGTTTTATACCTGACATTCATGCCAGTTAAAGGCACACCATTGGGAGCCTTGGGGACTGAAGGTGTAGCAGAGACTACAGCAGTGTCAGCTTTCCTCCTCCTCCCCCTTCCCCAGGAGCGATTTTCCCTGGGGGTAACGGGAGAGTTTGATTTCTCAGGCTCTCTTATTTGCAGGCGCCTCTGGCCGGACTGCTGACAAGGACACTGATTCATGTCTCATCGAATGCGGGACACCCTAGTCAGCTAGGGACTGAGACCACCAGGCAGATATGAGTGGGTGATAATCTTTGTCATTACCAATCAGGAAGGGCTCTATACTGGTGACCTGCCTGTGAGGCTCTCTGTCTGACACTCACCCTCAAAACTGTGCAGGTTGTTTACTGTCCAGATTTCTTTTTCCCCGTGACATGTCAGCAATGGATTCCATCCCGTTCCCCTAGCCTGTCCTCTGATCCCTCAATAGCTTGTTTTGGAAGCAGCTTTTCTTACAGAATCTGATGCAGATAGTTTCACAGAAAGGTCACCTTTGTTTCCCCAGCGCTGCAGGGTATTTCTCTTTGCTGTCATTAAACCAATAGGAATCCACCTCCAGGAAATCTGGCAGAGATGGAGCACTCTTATCGGCTGAATTGCCGATGTGTCCTCTCTCAGGTTAGAGAGGTAGTGCAGCCTGCTGCTCTGAATTTTTGCCCCAACACGACCACTGGCTCACCCTGGGGCTTGGGCCCACACCCAAAGGCAGTCTTTTCCAGTTGTGGCCTCTGCTCTTAGGTGCCTCTATAGGTACTTATGGGCCCCTCATCACAGGGGCATCCAAGCACATAGTAATCACTAATGGATATTATCCTCACTCACCCCTGCGAGGAAGGGCTGAGCTGTTCTCCCCATTGTACAGAGGGGAAACTGAGGCCCAGAGAGACTAAGTGACTTGCCCAAGGTCACACAGGAAGTCTGTGACTAAGCCAGGAATTGAATTGGTGTCTCCTGAGTCCCAGTCCAGGCAACTGTAAAGCCCCCAGAAGATGCAAAGCTGGTGTGTCCAGGACTTTTACTCGTCCCTGACTGCAGGAGCCCAGGGTAGGGGGCATGGTGTGGCACTTCTACCACGGCCCAGAGGGCCTGTTGCAATCAGGGGGGACATTACGAGCCCTTATGGCTATTCTGATCTGTGCTGCAGGCTGAGCTGACACCTGTCAGGCCCAGGATAGGGTTCTCACTAGCAACACTCCCCATCAATCCCTATGCCCACCCCAGATTGGTGCAGGAATTAACTCTCCTCCCCTGCGCCTTATACTGAGACATAGTTACTCCAGTTGGAGATGTGGGTGCTTTGAACATCTGAAAACAAGGCACTCAGTGTCTCAGGCTGATGAATAAAGCAGCTCATCCAATCTGGGCATTCAGAATTAGTGGATGCTTTTGGAAATGTTGGCCTCAGTCCTTCTTCGCCACCATTTCCTCCTCCTGTTAAACCTTCTTCGCTGCACAGCGGTGCGGCCGAGATTCATTAGCTAACGTCTGTGCAGCATGCCATGTATTGCTGTCCCCTGCCCTGGCAAGGGCATGGTCCCAAGGACCGTCCGGATGGGTCTTTCCCATCTCTGGTTCCTGTGATCCCAACTGGCATTGGAGAGCGTAGGCGCCACCTGAAATGATCACCCTGAAGGAAGGGAGGATGCAACACGCCAAGCCCAGGAAATGCAAGCGGCTGGCTGCATTGTGAAAGAGGCACGCCTGTGTACTAGCTTGGCTGCACTCCAGTCTCTCCGTCAGGGCTGCTGATGCAACCAGCACTACGTGCTGCTGGGAAAGACTCCGCACGCTGTTGGGAGCAGATGGAGCGTTCCTGTGGAGTTGTGAGCGATGGATCTGAGTGCAGGAGGAAGGTGCACGGGGTGAAATGTCCAGCCCCAATTAAAGCAGTCAGGGTAAAGGCTTTGCGCCCATTGGGGAAGAAGCCAAGCAGCATTTTTGTGCGACGGGGAAACCTCTTTGTGGATGAAGGTTGCCCCTCACCCTCAAACGATGGTGATGCAGAAGGCCTTTGTGGGGTGATGTTTGGAGGCGCACGTGGAGTGTAATCTCTTAAAGATCTGATCCTGCAGCCTCTACATGCAGAGAGCTCCCATTTACGTTGATATGGGCACTTTGCAGGCATAAGCCCGGCAGGGTTGGACCCTTTATGGATTACACTGTAGAAGCGCCTTCAAATTCCTTGGGCTGGCTTTGGAATGGCCTGCACTGCTTCTGTACTCTGTGTGGCTATCCTGGGGAGAGCAGTGCTGAGCGAGGCTTGCAGGAAGCCCAGGTCAGTGGACAGCAGGGCACAGAGCCACGGAAAGCAAGTCAGAACTGAACAGAAACATGCCGATGCACTCTGTGTTCTTTTACACACACTGTCCTCCTGCGTGCCAGTGCAAACGTGCTGCTACTAGCTCGTTTCCACTGAAATCTGTCGTGTCTAACTGTTTTGCTTAATGCTATTTAACTAGTAAAGCCTGTCGTGCCTTTGCCATTCTCCTCACTAGTCAAAAGTAGGGCCTTGAAGTAGGTCACTGGGATGAATAAGAAGCAAATTGCACCATCATTTATTACACACTCTCGGCAAAATTCTGCAGATTGAGCAAAGCTATTCTGCAGTATTTTTTGCAGGGACTGGTGTGCGTCTTGCTTAATAGCTCTGCGTTGTATCATCAGCGAAATGTGGTTTGAGGTGGATTTAAAGAGCAAGGCATTGACTGTCGTGATGTCATCTAGGATCCTTGTGAGCTACTTGCTGCTCCGCTTCATTGATTTTTTAAAAATATTCATCCTGGTTCTTGCCCTACAACGAGCTGGAAGAAATACCTGTAGTGTCAGAACATCCAGTGTTGTTCAAATAGACGTGGACCCTAAGCAGAAAATTTGAATGGCTTTATTTACCCACAGGTCTCCTTATGAGTGGTTGCTATGTAGGCAAAAGCATCTTCCTCTTTCAGGACTGCCATGTTTTCCCAGCTTTACTTCTGAGATTCATCCTCTTGCACTACATTGGCCTTCACACAGCTCTTGGAAGGTCACAAATGCACATTCACCTAGAGAGATTTGGTCTCCAGTGTTCTAAATTGTCAGGCTTCTTAGCCAAGGAAGTGAGTTTTGTGTTTTGGATGTTGCCATCCCAGGGAAGGAGGTGCCATCCCTTATATTTATTGCAGGCACCTTCAAAATACCAAAGGTAACTTGACACAAGAGCTAAAGTGCAAATTGTTAACCCTTTCAGTCTCGAGCTGACCCCAGGCAGAGTTGTTGCAGCGTATTTATGCCGGTTGACCTGGCCGGGGAGTGGTTCGTGGCTGGAGTTTCGTCAACAGTCTTAGAAGTCTCTTCTTCCCTTGATATGCACGTCCAGCTCGTGTCTTTCCGGCTCAGCCGTCAGCGAACTCTGAATCCTGAGATGCCAGCTAAGAAAGAGGTCTTGTGTTAGAGCTGAAGACCTGGAACATTGACAGGAAAGATGAATTGTCATCAAAGGTTCTGTTACAGCATGAAACCTCCTGACATCTGTGATCTGCACTTCATATCTGCAGGGGATACTGGAACGTGATACCCCCGGAGAACTCTGAAATCTTCATGATCAAAAGCCAGTCACAGGGGAGACTGCTCCCAGGGGGATGGGGAAAGAGATTGACAGCAACAGCTGGAGTCACAGTGTCACATGGAACATAGAGCGTAGGAATAAGGGCGTTATGAACTCAAAGCTTGGCTCCCATTCAAGGCTCACCAAACTGGGTGAGCCTGAGCTGTGTTATGGAATAACCCCAGGCGTGTGTGGTTTCAAGACAGATCGCACTAGCCCTGAGTTTAGACTGTAAACTCTTTAGAGCAGAGTTTTATGAGTTTGCCCGGTACCTAGCATGATGGGGGCCTGTGAGCACTCCTATGTAAATATTAAATCATCCTGCAACGGCATCTGCCTGTGAGGCCATGAAGGTCCCTTTGCAGAATTGGAACCATGGTTAGGAGCTGTGACTGGGTGAAATGTGGTTGTTTCTAGCATGGCCGATGGGTCTGATGTGCCCCTCTCACATATCCCTCTGTTCTCCCCTTACACAATCCCTGAGTCTCTGATCATTTCCACCAGCCTGGATGCCGTTTCCAACCCATTTTTGGCATGACGGCTTGCCATGGTTCTAAGAGGTAATGCTAAGAGCCAGATTCTGAGAGGTGCAGAGCATGTGCAGCTCGCCTGGCCAGTAGGGGAGCTGCAAGCAGGGGACAGCCTCGGGGTTGGCTCAGTGGGAGCCGTAGGCCACGTCTACACTACGGGCGTTGTGGCAGCGTAGCTACAGCACCGTGACCCCATGCAGCGATGGAAGGGGGTTTTCCGTTGGTATAGGAACACCACCTCCCCTAGCAACTGTTGCTAGGTTGATGGAACCTTGTTGGCCTGGGTGGAATTCCCCCGGGGATGAGGCCTGAGTGTTCTCTGTTTGGAGCCTGACTTATTTAACAGCCTCCTCACTTGCCTCACCCATCAGCCAGCCTCTAGGAGAGGGCGTTAGACCGAGCCTGCCTTTCTGCTCTGCTCAGCGTTGTTTGGCCGCTCGGTCTCTTAGCAGCCGGAGAAATAAGAGCTTCAAGTTCCTCTGTTTCCAACTCACGCAGCTGGGATAGTACCAGTGGGCCCAGGCCAGAAGTGCTCTCTCAGGCAAAACTCCCGTTATGGCCAGTCGTGCTCCTTGACTTCCGTGGGAGTGTTGGTTGAGTCAGGAGTTCAGGCCTGGGCCCCGTAATACCCGGCAGCCTTACTGCTGCTTGGCATGGCACTTCTGCTCCAGCCCAAAGCACAATAGTAGTAATCCACCTCCCGGTGCCTCTGTGAGACAGGAACGTTGTAGGGTTGTTTTGCCTTCCTCAGGCCTGGTAAGCTAAGAAGCAGGTTCAGCTAGTTACCTGAGATCGCACGGAGTTAGCAGCAGAACTCAGAGCTCCTGCCACTGGGGTTTGTGTCTGATCAGTGGAACGTTCCCCCCGCTAATGTTTGCTTCCTAAAACAGAGGTGTTACCCACCTGGCTCGGCCCAGCTGCCTGGAGGTCCAAGAGGCCAAAGGAGCTCTTTCCACCCTGGCAAACTCCGTCATACGTCTTAAGTGCTGTGACTGGGACAGAGACCTTTCTTCATTTCCAGCAAGCAGGGAGTTGCCATCCTGTTCAGGTGCCTTAGGCATGCAGGGGATAAGAGCCTTTCCCAGGCTGCTGTTCCAGGGCTGGGAGTTACTTGTTCTTGTATCCAACCTCCTTTAACGCCGCAAGAATAAACCCCTGAGGAGGAGAATGTGCTGATGAAAGAGAGGCGCTTTCATTGCTGATCCACACTGCTAGTTCACGCCAGCGATGGAAGCTCTGTGCCCCGACACTCGCAGCCTTCTTGTAACTCTTGTGGGAGCCTAGCGTAAGGGGCCTTCTCAAAGCTACTTGCAAGAGGTTTCGAAGTCAAAGGAGCACAGGCTACAGTTTTCATAGGGTCCCAAACTCCCAGCTACCAGGGAAAGTCAATGGGAGTTAAGTGCCTAACTCCTTTAGCCCTCTTTAAAACCCCAAGCCCCAGTGCTTCTTACCGAAGCTGGTCGTGAACACTGCTGAGTTCTTACCTGGTTGTTTTCATCTGCAGATCTTGAAGTACTTTTAAACATGAAATGTTTCTCCTCTCCTTGTGCACATGGTCCAGGGATCTCTGGGGAATGTCACTGACATCCTGTTTCCTTTATAAGGGACGGGGGGCTGCCCTGGGAGGACACATCTGTCCCCAAAGTTGGTGCGTAGCTTGTTTTGACCATCCTAGATTGCCTGATGCTCACGCTCACAGGCAGCCATGGTGGCTGTCCACTCCAGAGGACGTAGGAATCATACATGGCCCTCGTGGGAGTGCATTCATATTTGTGCCAACAACTGGGAGGATTAGAAGGGAAGCAGAACTACAGAAAGTGAGGGTTAGATGAGGGGAAACAGAGATGCAGAGAGCTGGATTTGCCCCTGAGCTCACTGGAGTTGTACCTGCTTATGACAGTGGTGAATTTGGCCTGGAAAGTGTAAGTGACTTCCCCAAGGCTACGCAAGAAGTCAGTATCAGAGCCAAGAGCTCAGGAGTTACTGGTCCCAATCCCATGCTCAGTCCCATCCCATCAGACCATGTTCATGTACAATCAGCACGGTAAAAGCTGGCTGCAGTCCACAAACAGCGGGCAGAAACTCTCGCCCTTCCCGTTCCTGGCCTTACGGGTCTATACGGTGCAGCTCTTGGGTGGCAGGATGCCTGTTCCTCTCTGTGTGCCACACCCTTAGCAGGAGCTTAGTACATGGAGTAACCAGGAATTAGCCCAGAGCAGTATTTTGTGGCTGAGCTGTAAACCCCCGAAAAGAGAGGATGATGGTGGAAATGCTGACGGCTTTTCGGTATAAGTGCACAAAACAGCACTGCTCTCATTTTCCAGTCTGGTTTCTATGGCTCCGGTGTGCGATGCATAAGTGAGACCACATGTTCCTAGGTTACAGGATCTGCTGTGACTGGAGTGAAAAGTGACTGAGTTAGCACTTTCCCTTCACAGGGTAACTTGGCACCTTCCGGGGGGACTTCGTAAAGGGTTATGCGGCCCTGCCACAACTGCAGTATCTCTGGCCAGCTTCCTCTTTGATGTGGACTCCCAGGTATCCGAGAACCTGGAGGCCCAAAGGATGGACTAGGGGATGAACTAGGAGTTAAGGCACGGCCTGGCACTTGGAAGCATTGGGGTTCAAATCCCACCTGATTATCGTGCGTACTGTGGTAGCACCTAGGTGCTGTACAAACACAGGACAAAAAGACCCTCCCTGCCCCAGGAATCATCTCTGCCACAGACGCTCTATGTGACCATAGGTTTCCATCTGTGATGATAATGCTTCCTCACCTCACTTGAGTGACGTGAGGACAAATTGATCGAGGATCGTGTGGTGCTTAGATGCTACAGAGGTGAGGAGGCCCAATACGTACCTCGGGAGAAACCATGTTCCCTAGGCAGCTCCAGCCCCGTTCTACAGGGCTGCTGGGCAAAGCCCATCTTGACCCATTCTCCCATATTTTAGTAGTGAAATTGTTCAGCGTGTCCTGTCGCTGTGGGGGCACAGGCCTCTGAGCTCTTTCCAGCTACTGTGTCCTTTGGCAGATTGATTTGTGTAAGACGTGCTGGCTCTTCTCATGCACACGTACTCACTAGCCTAAAAATATGCTAATCAATATGGGATATAAGGCAATTGTGTCTCCCATACAGAACATGTACAGGGGGAGGGATAGCTCAGTGGTTTGAGGACTAGCCTACTAAACCCAGGGTTGTGAGTTCAATCCTTGAGGGGGCCAGCTAGGGCTCTGGGGCAAAAAAAATAGTTGGGGATTGGTTCTGCTCTGAGCAGGGGGTTGGACTAGATGACCTCCTGAGGTCCCTTCCAACCCTGATATTCTATGATTCAATTCTACGATTCATGCCCACAGCAAGCGGTGCCTCACGTTACCAGAGCTCTTTCATTAAACATGCAGAGGCTAGGGATTCTGGCAGGCTTCTTGGTTGGGTGCCCTTACCCACAAGTGCCATTAGCTTCAATAAGCAGCAGGATTGAACTGCAGCGCTGCCCCAGCATCCAGGCCCAGAGGGCCCCGACATTACTGTTAGGCCTGGGAAGGGCTCGCTGGGGACAAGCTCAAGTTCTTTTGCTCCAAGCTCAGGGGTGTGGATGGGATTTTAATGATTTTAATTTCATGTTTTAATGAAACCTTCCTCTCTGCTCCAGCACCACAGACATTTTCCCCACCTTGGTGTCCCTGGCAAAGGCAAGCCTGCCTCCCAACAGGCGCTTTGATGGTTCAGACATGTCTGAGATTCTCTTCGGGCAGTCGCACCAAGGGCACAAGGTATGTAGTGGACTCTCTTCAACGTTCAGCTGCAGGGGGAGTTACAAACACCACTTCAGTGAGGGTTAATTGTTCCTTGTGCATGCGAGCATTACCATCGGTGCAGTCACGGTGGGAATGCTGCTGTAGACAGACTGACGCCACTTTAACCACTGTGTCATGTGGGCATGCACTGGTACAATGGTGGGAAATTCTACCTTGGTCACAGCTTCCTTAGGGGTGTGGTTTGACTGGCCGGGTGCAGTGGAGTGCAGAGGGCTAGTTAGGGAATGAACAGTAGATTCATGATGCTATCTCCCAGACTCCCTTCCCAGCTCATTTTGAGGTCTTACATAAATTGGTTCTGATGGGTCTCAGGTCTGACATCACATGACAGGACTCCATATTACCAACTGCCCAACATTACTTGGCATCATTCAAGAGAGATCTGAAGTTGAGCTAGCCTGGAATCTGAGTTGCCTGTTCACTCAAGACAGAGTGGTCTCTTCAGGGCACTGCTGAGATTGCCGGGAGCTGGTGGAAGGGTTGGAGAAGAATATCCGATGGCTTGATTTTATTTGTAGTACACAATAGTAGCACCGAGAGGTCTCAACTGAGATTCCAGGCATTATACAGACACACAGTGAGATACAGTCGCTGCCCCCAAGAGCTTATCATGTAAGTAGACAAGAGAGACCAACGTGAGAGGCGATAGTGGACTTGCTTGAAGTCACACAGCGCATCAGTGGACAAGCCAGAAATAGAACCCAGGTCTCCTGGCTCCCAAGCCCGGCTACCGACTGGACCACACTCCATTAGCAGCAAGATGGCAGTTACAAATTAACCTTACCAGATTTGGAACTGCACATTTCTGTGGGCTCCTCTGGCATTTCCCAGCTTGGCCAGAATGTCACAGACTGGATTTCATGGCAGAGGTGAGGTGGGGCGGGGCAAGGCAGGGTAGAAAAGATTTTTTAAAAAGAGGAGTTAAAACTTGATTTGTAAGCTGAGCAGCTCGGTTAGCGGGAGTGTGTGGCCCATCAATGTGGCATTACGGGCCAACGTGCACCTGTCCTGCTGGACAGCACTCACCTGGCTCCATGTGTCACTGGAGTCATCGGGAGCTGCGTGTGAGTATCCGAGAACCAGAACTTGGCCCTTGACCCATTCCTTTTATGCTTTGTAGTTGACCTGTCAGATCTTTCTCCCTGTGCATTTCATAGCTGAGATGCAGTGACAAGAACACCATCCCGTTTGGTATTTGGGTCTCTGTAGCACTAGAATTAGAGATAAATAAAAATCCCAGGCACTTGAAGCCAGTAGCGTGTCTGTCTTGATTTGACAAACAGGGTCATGATTAAGCTCCTATTTGTTCTGAGCCCTGGCTTGAACAACATGCCCATTATCAATTTGTAAGTAGGGCAGCCAGTCCCGTATCCTGCAGCTTTCAGTCCACATGACAATAGGACCTACTCACAGCTCCCTAACGCATGAGAAATGCAGTTAGCAGGACAGCCATTACACGGACACATTTTCAGAGCGTTACACAAGATTTTGGCTGCAGGACTCCAATGGCCTTTAATGAGCATCCCACATCTAAAATCTTGCGCTTTGCTTTGAAAGTCTGCCCTGCTGGGAGCGTCTCAATCTGGCTCCCGGTAGGGATTTTGGATTTGCTCTCCGAGTCCATTGCGTGTTTGGTATTTAATATTTTTTATGGAACCCTTTGTTGAATCCTAAGATAAACGACGGAGGTGGGGGAGATATGGCGAAAGCCCATTTGGCTGTGTGAGTTTTGATGGACCTTATTATAATCAGTTTGTAGTGATGGCCACTGTGAAACACTACAGTTAGCAGAGCATGTCCAGTACTTAAGCAATAGTCAGGGAATGAACCATCTTGAGTGGTTCTTCACCCAACAGTGGCTGAAAGCCTCTAGGCAATTCCAGAGAAATATAATAGCCATGATAAATGAGCCTGGGCTTGGAGATCTGCTAGCAGAGCTGCCACGTTCCATCATGGGAATTTCCAAAAGTGTGGGGAGAGGAAATTGAAGGGGGCGTAAGAGGCTGCGGGCGGGTCACAAAGAAGAAATGGTAGACAGGCAGTCCATAGTGGGTCAGGGGAACCACAGACTGCAGGGCAATAGAAAATGTAGTGCTGGCTCAGGGTAGCAGTGCTGCAGGACAACAGAGAGTGCAGTGCTGGCTTGGGGGTAATACAGAGCACCCTGCTGGGTCGCGGCAGCGGCACTGGGCCTGCAGGCTACTAGGCAGTGCTACAGAGAAGTGCCCGGGAATGTTGGCACCCGAAGGAATAAGTTACATTTTGACCTTAAGCCCTAGATTGTCATAACAGCAACAAATATTGAAAGGTTGCATTGGGTACTAATGTAGTTTGACTGTTGTCTCCCGTTTACCGCCACTAGAGCTCTGATGTGCCCCGTCTGTGGTTACTCACTGATTAATTACTCACTCCTGCCTCAAACCACTTGTGTTCCTGAGAGAGCCTGCGGACTCCTAACCATTCCGGACAGGAAATTGGGATGGGCTGGGAAACTGTTGTGTTTTCAGCTCCTTTCCCTGCCTGCACAGGGCTGGCCCCTATGCTGCATTTTGCTGTGCTTTGTCCTGCCCTGTTCTGAATATCCCCACGGAGACGGAAGGCCTTGGCTATGTGGCCTTTCAAATGATCAGCTTGTGTCTTTTGACCACTCCCTTAAAGGTGAGCAGGCTTTGTAATTCTCCCCGGAGGATCATAGGGGGTGAATTAACCCTGTCAGGGCCAGACCCTCCCTGGGTTTAGGAAACTGTTTGGTTAAATGTGGGGCAAACAGTAGCTTGCTATTTCTAGGACAAGGACAACCTTTCAGCCAGTTTGGGGCTCAGCTCCCTGCCTTTTGTAACCAGGGAATACTGTTGCCATATCCAGTGTGTTCTCTGCCTGCGAGCTAGACCCTGGTGCACTCCTGAACCATAGTCCAAACCAGCAGCCCCACCAGATGTGTTTGAAGTTGCCTGGCTCCCCATCCTTCAGCCAGCTGAGACTTGAGTTGTTCCCGCCAACTTGATACCTTTGGGCTGGTGTGTGCTATGCCTTGCGGAGGGAGAAATAGGCAAGTCTGTCAAAGCAATCCAGCGCCTCGGAGCTTGTGCATTATATTCTAATAAGGGCACATCCATGGGTCAGCAATCACTTGGCCTTGTGCCTCCCAACACACTCACACTGGGGAGCCGATTGCATTTCTGCTGTACCTCCCTGCGGAGTGCATATAGCCAAGTACTTTGCAATGAGAATCTACTCCCTTTTATCTTGTATTTGTGAGCTAGTGATAGCAAATGTTACACTGCCTTTGATGTTACAGGCTTTTCCTTGACACAAATCCTCTCTGAACCAGTCCTTTTTTTTTGCAGCATCTGATTTATGCACAGTTCTGGCAGCTGATTGGGGTGGTTGTTTTTATTTGGGAGGCAGTTTGCTGACTGCAATGGCTGTACATCTCCTCGCATTATCTCACTTAGCTAGCCTTTGCTTTCCACTCCAACAGCACCTGTATTCACTAGTAGTACCACCTATGCCGGCCCTGGAACTGCAGCCAGTGTCCTGTTTTGAATAAAGTTTGTTAGCAATAAAAACAAATCATACGAAATGTATCGTAAATACAAGCACCAGGCAAATAGGCTTTCTTCAGTAGATGAATGTCGAAGGAATGTTCCTGATACCTGCTCAGTAATAGAAACATACTAAGTAGTTTAGTTCAAACTTAAAATGATCAGTTTTTTTTTAAATAATAAAGTCATGAATCACTGGATAGGTAACATACCTAGTAGTAAAGCTTTGCAATTCTCTAGACTAGAGCCATTCATCAGAGGGCTTCAGTTAAGATGAGCCATTTACCTGTGCAGTAAGAATTGTAATAGACGTTTTGGAGATGAAAACAACAAGGAGTCCGGTGGCACCTTAAAGACTAACAGATTTATTTGGGCATAAGCTTTCGTGGGTAAAAAACCTCACTTTTACAGATGCATGGAGTGAGAATTACAGATCCAGGCACAGATAGATGTGGCACATGAAGAGAAGGGAGTTACCTCACCTTTAGAGATGGTTAACCTGAGTATAACGATACCGGCAAACGTTTCCAGTGTAGACAAGGCCATATACTTGTAGAGCTTATTCCTCTTCCTGCATAAGAATAAGCTATACTGGTATATGGCACCTTTATACTGATGTGACGGCCTCCATGCTAGTCAGTGCACCACGTTCACGCCACCGCTATAGTTAAATCAGTACGACTTGTGTGTGTGTGTAGACGAGACCTAATTTTAAGCCTGTAAGGAGATCCACTGGGCTTGATTCTCATTTATGCTAAGGGATTGTCTGCACACTGGGGTAACGTGCTGACAGAGATGTGCTGTCTAAAACACACTAACGTGTTGCACATTAATTAGTCCATGTAGACCCTGCTGGTGCACTTTAACACAATGTTCTTTGGAACAGCACTACATTAAGCACACTAGGGAATCTTTAGTTCGTACCAGCAGGATCAATATGGAACAATTAATGCTGTACGTTAGTGCGCTTTAGAAATCACACCCCTGTACAGCGCATTATTCCACCATGAAGACAAGCCCTAAGGTTCTGGCATTCTCCTAAGCTGTCGACACTGCTGTTTATATCTGTGCTGGGGGCTGTACTCTACACAGCACTATTAGGAGAGTGCAGTATAGGCTTGCTGCCTTATGGACTCCAGATCCTGGCCCTGAAGGGGTGGCCTTGGGTAAAGAATGTTCTGTTTGGTTGGGAAAGAAGAAAGGGCAGGGTAGTTGAGAAACAGCATTTCTGTGACCTGCGCTGTCCTGAGGAGAAGCCTCGGAGTGCTGATTGGCTCCTCCTGAGGGGCTGTCACTTGTTTCCATTGTATTTTACTGAAATAGCAGCTCTTCAACAACATATTTTTCTGTCTCCCCCTCGTGCTCTTTTCTTCAGACAGGCTGGGGCCTGCAAAAGACCAGCATTAATCAGCATTCCAGAGCCTGAGCGCTAAAGCTCTCCTGGTAACAGCGTTCCAAGGGCGGCTTAGCAGAACCAGAAAGGCTGACTGTGAGGATTTGGAGCACTCGTAAGCAGTTTAATATAAAGGCTCCAATGATGGTACCCAGCCAGGCAGGATACCATGGCGATGAGGGCCACAGAAATACCTAGAGGTCATGGTAATCCCAGCTCCCGAGGCTGCTCGGAGAGCAGTGGGCTGGAAGGATGCTAGATCCTATGAGCATCTACACTTCCCCCTGCATCTCTGGGGAGATTGTTGCTTTTGTGTCGGTTCTATGATGACACCAACTGAGCTGCTAGGATAGCAAGCTTGTGCTGGAGGCTAGCTTCACTGCACTGCTCCTGTTTTCCCCTTCCCACCTACCTGAACCTTTTCCAACCAGCAGGTCTGGCTACTCGGGGGTTTGTGGGGGTAGGTTTGTTCTCAGCTCTGCTGCTGAGTCACTGTGTGACCTTGGGAGGTTGCTTAGCCTCACCGTGCCTCAGTTTCTCCTGTGTAAAATGTCATCAGTAATTGTTTGTCAGACACTTTGAGATCTTTGCCTGAAAGGTGCCAGATATGGGCAGAGTATACCATCTCCATGGGAGTCCTATAGGACATGAAATCAGGCCTGCCTGCTTTGAGCTCCAGTATGTGCAAACTTCTCAGCTATAGATAGTAAAAAAGAGGCAGCTATTCTACCTCACTGCTACCTGCCCTGAGAACGACACACCAGCTGTAAAGCATGTTGTTTGAAGAAGCTCCCCGTTGACAATGTCGTCTCAAAGTGCCACTATGTGGTCTCCTTTCCCTTTTTTGGGACACGAGGGCAGACACCTCGCTGGTGTGTTATAGCTCTATGAACCTCTGGGATGGCTTCTCGCTCCGTAAAAGCCCATCAAGCTGGGATAACAAGGGCTTTTGCAAAGAGAAGACCAGCTGTTGAGTCAAAGGGAGTTAAACACACTGAGTAGACACTGCCCAGTCAGACCCAGTCTCTGTTATATTCTCCACCTGGAACCTGCATACGAAAATGTTAAGATCCTGCTTTTTCCTCGGGGGTGGGGTGGGGAGAGGAATATAGTAGCCAATCTCTGAAAATGGAAAAATGTTCTCAAGGTTAATTTTTAGTTTGAATATGGGGGCCGTGCTGCCTGCCCACACAAGCCTGAGAGTGCTGGTTCCCCACCCCCCACCCCGCCATGTTGTACGGGCCGGTGACAGCGGGAACACCTGCTAAGTAATCGGCTCGCTGATCAGCTGTGAACGTTGCTGCTAAACTTGGCGCGACAGCTGCCTCCATCTCCAGCAGATGTTTCTAATTTTTAGCCCAACGGAAACTTTATGAATCACTTCAACTCCTTCCCAGGGAGGAAACCTCTTGTGATTCATCCCCCTCTGGGACCGCGGGGTTCCAAGCGGAGATTATCTGACAGACTGGCCCACCAAGCTCACTTGGCTCTGTCATTTTATTTTGCCTCCAGGGGACCATCCAGTATGGATTCAGGGTGTCATAAAGATTGAACTAGACATAATCCACCCCACCCCCCTCTCACTCCTTGTCACCTTAAACTCCCCTTAATGCGTCTCTCTGTGTTTGTGAAGGGAGACTTCCTTACAATGGAACGAGTGACTCAGTGGAGATGAACTGTGCTGTTCCAGGGCATGATTTCAGAGTACAGCCTCTGCTTCACAAGAGACATGAAGTCATTATGAACTTGTGGCTTGGTTGCTGGCCCCACAGAGCTGTAAAGGTCTCTTAGATGTCCCTGCCACTAGCTGAGCTGTAATAATAGCAGGAAGGACCAGAATGCTCCTGGTTCTCATAGAGTCAGACTGGAGAGGGTTCACAGGGAAAGTTACAGTAGAACATAGGGTGACCAGATGTCCCGATTTTATAGGGACAATCCCGATTTTTGGGTCTTTCTTATTTCCTATTACCCCCCACTCCCTGTCCCCATTTTTCACATTTGCTGTCTGGTCACCCTAGTAGAACATGAGCTTGTGTTTGCTAAACACATTCCATTCGCTAGCCCCAAATGTTCTGCCGCTCCTCTCCGAAAGGCCTTGGTACTAGATAATCCGGTTCATGGAACGGGGCTGGTATCGGAGCAGAAAACTCAGGGTAGTTAACTTTAGTGGCATGAAACCAGGGCAGATTCTGTAGGATTGTATTGAAAACTAACAGCTGCATTGAGGCAGGGACAGAATGAGGTCGCTGTTAAAGGCGATCATGTTTTCAGCCAAGCAGGAATAATGCAGTGGGCGCAGGTTGCCCCGTTGAGTTGCAGCTTCGATCAGGTCCAGCTACACTGGTATTGTTGGAACACAGACAAGCTCACAGTAGGTCTTTAGTATGGTGCCATCGCCTAAAGAAACAGAAGTGTGTTAGCAACCCTTCCAAGGAGCTGCTACATTCCGGCTCGTCATATTCATTCTAGCATTGACACCCTGTTAATGACGAGATGGGAAAACACGAGTGATTGTTATAAACAGGCAAAATGGTTGATCAGATCTCTAGTGCACAATTAGTGCCCGTCAGTTGTTCATCAGGGAAGGAAATGGACTCCAAGGGCCCTGCCTCAGGGAACAGGATATAAGTGAAAAGGCGAGAAAGGGCGAATAAAAAACATCTTAGGAACCAGACCCAGTGTCTTACCTTGGCAAGCAGATCTCTCACGGCATGACATAGGCAAGCCCTACTCTGTCACCAGGGGGTTGAAGCAAAGAAACATCAATGGCTCTTACTGTTCCATAGCAGAATTTTGCTTCCAAAGCATGCTTGATCCTCAAGACTTGTAATCTGGTGGGAAAGCAGAGTGCCTGCCTCTGCAAGCACAGCCTGGTCTCTGGGGCTGCGTCAGAGCTCAGGGCAGGAACAGATGAAATCTTACCTGGTATCCCCTAACTTGTTGCCTTCTTTTCTTCCTTTAGACGTTGTTTCACCCCAATAGTGGAGCAGCTGGAAAGGACGGAGAGATAAAAGCGCTACGGCTGGCACAATACAAGGCATTTTACACTACAGGTATAGTCTGTTTGAATTTAGGAAAAGCCCCTTATCCAAAGGCCTGGGTGCCCTGGGGGAGGGATTTAAAAATCCAGGCAGATTGGTACAAACAAGCACAAATCCAGGAGCCTCCCGCAAACCAGAAAATGAATCAAATCCTTGCCCCAGCCACGGGTCCCTCCCCTGCAGGCTTCGTGGCCCAGAGTTGGTGACCTTCAGGGCAGCTTCAGACCAAGGGGAGTGTGAATTCCAAAGCTGAGGATGCCTCCCAGAGAACGTGCTGACAGCAGCTTCCTCTCTCAGCCCCAGATTCAGCAAGGCCCCTAGGCACGCGGCTTCAGTGGGGCAAGCCATGTGCTTTAAGGTAGGCATATGCTGCAGTGCTTTTTTGAGTCAGGACCTGGAACGAGGGCTTTAGCTACAGCACCTTTGATGGTCACAACGACTGCTGGTGGTGACCTCTGGAGACAAAGCTGGGAAGCGGACACCCAGAGCACTTCCACAAAAGTTACAGAGGAAGGATCCTGATGTGAGAGGACAGCCAGAGGAATGACATGCTCCTTTGCAGCCCTCTGGACATGCTTAGGTTCCCTTAACCTCAGGGGGTGGATGATTAAAATGGGACCCTCACCCCAACTTCAGAACTGCACACAATTCCACTGCTCCTGTTCATAGCATTTGGCTTTTTCTGAGGCATCTCCGATGTAGTATGGAGCCCCTACAGAGCAGGTGCCTTCCCTGCCAGGGTCTCTGCTTACCAGCAGCATTGGACCTCCTCATGTTCCTCTTCATTTTGTTTCCTTTATTTTTAACCTTCGGTCATTTAGCCTTCTTGTGGCTATTCTTGTGTCTCTGTGTTGCCCTGTGCTTCTTGATTCCCTTTTAGAGCAGCCCACAAGACACCTTCCTATCCTCCCCTTGCCTGTAGAGCTTGCAAAAGCTATGATTTCATAACTGGGTCAAACTCGGGTCAGCCCATGCAAACCAATGCACAACCTTGCTGGAGGGTTTCAACCACAGCTGCAGTCTCCATTGGATTTACAGGGTTTCTGAGCTATAATTACTGAAGGCTGTCATGCTAGTACCGTTTGCCAGAGATCAGCAAGCCCTAGGACTGTCACTTCATATAACATAGCTCCCTGTCCTTCCTCTGGTGCGATTCCTAAAGAGCAGGCAGTCACGTTTACAGAGGTTTCCGATACAGCACCACTGCACAGTAAATGTGGCTAGGCAGGACTTTCCTTAGCCTATCACTGGAATAAGCCAGGTAGAACTCAAAGCTTTTCCGTCTGCTGCTAGGTTGTTAAGCCATGTCCAGCAATGTGGTAGCAACTGTAGGTAGAAGAGGTTAGACCTACACTAGAAACTCACTGATCTCCTTTGCTTGTGAGTAACTCATTTGCCATAGTTATATCGGTTAGCCTAGGACCCTGGCACCCTTTGGTAACAGAAGTACCTGCTGCATGTGTTCAGGTTGCTACATCTGCTGGAAACTAATGACACTGCACCAGAGATGGCTGCCAGGGGACTTCAGAGTTTTTCTCTGGGTTTCCATTCCAGGCGGGGCGAAAGCCTGTGACGGAAGCATTGGGCTAGAAGAGCATCACCAACCGCCGCTCATTTTTAATCTGGATCAAGACATTCAAGAGCAGGTGCCTCTGGACGTGAAGGCTGGCGAGTATCAGGCTGTGCTACCTGCGATAACCAGGGCTCTGACAGACTTTCTTCAGGATATTGCAACAGACAACGTCTCAACAGCGGATTACTCCCATGATCCAGCAGCGACACCCTGCTGCAATCCACAGCACATAGTTTGCCGATGTCAGGTTAGCTGCTCTAGCTGTAACAGGGAGCCGTAGACAAGCGTTTCACACTGAATCGGCTAGCAGGTCAGTCTGTGCCGTTCTAACTGTGCTGTTTGCAAATAAATCTGATGCCGTCTAGGCCAGCTCAAAGGACTAGCGTATCAGTGTGTAGCTACCGGCGGCACGGACAGCAGACGTGGTTCTCTTTGCACAGTCTTTAGAACAGTGTAGCCACGTTGCATCCCTTTGAGACACTGAGTGGAATGTTCTGGAAAGATCATCTTCTCTGCTCCTGCATGAAGAGGGGATGAAGAGCTGGTAGATCTAGATCAGTAGTTCTCACACTACTTACCACTGTGGGCCACATCCAATACTACCTACCTGAATGGCCTGTATGGATGTCACATCGGCCACAGCTCGGTGCTGAATGGGCTGCAAGCGGCCCGCAGGTTAAGAACCACTGATCTAGATTGTGGTTGGGGGGCAGGGAGGAAGAAGGGGGAATGTTCTTCATGGGCTTGCTAGGTGACAGAGGTGGTTCTTGGGTCAAAGCCCTTGTCTATGGTATTGCCCCCTGCCTGTACCTTGGAGGGGAATTGCTACAAAAGATGAACCTGCATGTCACTTGCCCCTCTGTGATCTGAAACTGGCCTTGAAGGGGACATGATGTGAGGGGAGAGGATGAGCCCAGGGGAGCGTAGATGGGGAGGAAGGGGGCCCAGGAAGCAGTGGATTAAACCTTTGTACATATGGCCTTGGCCTATGTAGAGGCCCTGAGATCTGTTGGCTCAGACGGCCAGACACCCCCCACTATTCCTGGGGAGGTGAGGGGTAATCTTTACCCCCTCTGACAGCACACGGTGGTCACTCCTGTCTCTAGGTGGGTTTTTCCATCTAGGGTTAAACCAGTATGGAATTTACATGACACTGATATGAAGACAGTGGCCCAGCTCTGTATCCTAGGGACAGGGGAAGTGCAGGGAGAACTGACCTCCTCCTAGAGATTTAAACAGCTGACGACAAGTAGTAAGGCCAACCCCCATCCTTGCCTCCCAGGATTTCTTACCCATATTTACAAAAGGCTCCCACTTAGAATAATGCCCTGTACTTCCAGGGCAACTTGCACCTCTGAGGATCTCACAGCACTTTGCCAAGATGGGCAAGTGTCAGCTCAGCTTGACAGGATTCCTCTTGCACAGCATGCTGTCCCTGCCCTGGTGTCAGGGCATTTGGGGATGGCTTTGGGGGGGGGTGGTGAAAGGGGCGGAGCCAGAGCATGATGCCCTCCTGCAATCTTGACCACTAAAGGAGCTCCTTGGGAGCTGTTATCTACTGGCACAAGGCAGCGCAGCCCGGAGACCAACCCGGTGCCTGGCAGTTCCCTGAATGGTGCTGGAAAGCCCCAATGCTCCCTCCTTTCCCAGGCTGTTCTGGCACATCTGGGCCATTATCTCCATGTTATAAATGGGGAATCCCAGGCAAAAGTTACGTGAATCCCCCAAGGTTGCAGCAGGTTAGCGTCACAGCAGCAAACAGAGACCACAGATCACACGTCCTGGACAACGCTCCTGAAGCCAGAAGGGGTTGGGCAGGGTTGTAAGTCAGTCCAGGTTCAGCAAGAGCAGCAGCCGTCTTGAGTCTCAATTCCAGTCTCTAACAACGATGCCCTTCGCTCCCAAAATCGTATTGTTTGAAACAAACCAGTCAGCGGGCAGCTGAAGGCCACGGGCGACGATTCACAAACAGCAGAAACCAAAACTAGGAGCAGTTCCACTAATAAACCTGAATCAAGACTGACATCCGCAGGGCCCCCCAGAGAACAGCAAGAACTCCCACACCGAGCAGCCACTGACATATGACGACTTTATTACTAGTCTTCTGGTAGAGCTCAAACATAATAAATGGGGAGATTTCCCCCTAATATCACTGCAAAAATACTCTGCATGGATAAAATAGTATGTATATACTGTACAAAGACATAGTTTAATAGACTTTATACACATAAAACAGCATAAATTAGAAAAGGGAAACCGATGTATAGAAAATTCAGGTTACATACAAATCTGGTCAGGTTAGCATTTACAACGGGGTTTTAATGTCTCCTTTGTTAAATATAGCACTGTGCATGCAGTACATTTATACCACTCCCATATCCCATGTCAAACACAGGGCCAGAGGGGTGAGGTAACCACTTGAACATACTGTTGTAAAAGCAATGCAGCACCTCTGGTTATTCGCCCTGTTGTAGGCACCCACAAATCCGTTCTTCCACACTGCTGGGTTTTTCCAAACCACCTCCCAGCGCCTGTCCCGAATCCTGAGGTTGGCGTCTCATCATGACCTCTTCACTTTGCCCGGGTGATCTCCACGGCACAAGATTATCTACCAAAATCAAAACAGAACTGCCTTACTTTTCCCAGCAACAGGCCGTTAAGCAGGGTGCATCGCAGAAGGCTTTGCACACGTGCAATGGAGAAGACACCATGCAGTGTTTTACTTTCTGGTCAATGAGAGTTGTGTTTGCCCTACATGTATAGGTTCGTGACAGTGTGTCCCTTATCCAGCTGCCATCGCATTCAGAACAGAGATTAAAAACAGACAAAGCATGCAGGCTACGTGTCAGCTCTTAACTCCGGTAACAGAATACAGCAGCTTCCTCAGGACACAGGCAGGAAATACACAATGGCAAGGACTTTTAACTAGCTACTTCATACTAGCACCGCACACAAGCCACAACAAGGGGACCAAAGATCTCTGGGCAAGAACCTCACCTTCTTATGGAAAAACCTGGGGTGGGGCTGTGCTCCCCCACCCGCTACCCTCAGAAGGGTTCTTCTGCTCTATGGAGACTCCACCCAGCAGCTAATGTGTTCTGGGTGTCAGTGCACAGATGCCTGCTGGGCTAGATCATCCCCCAGCTCCTACTACAACGACCTCCATCTTGGGCTGGGTTGCAGAGACATTGAACGCTAGAAGGTGCAAAATGCCAGCCATACTTCCATAGAAGCTTCCCACCAAGAAGGAGCATTATTAACAGACAGTTCCACAGAGGCACTTTTGCTCTTTGTTATCGCAGGTAGCAACTATAAAGAAATATAGCCCAAAATTCGTAGTAGTGCCGAATGTCTACGTAGCAGAGTTAGTATGATCAAAACGACGGAAGGCCAACATTGAAAACAAACACCGTGACCTAGGCAAGCACTGGTAACATGCAACACAAGCGTGGCTGCAATAATTTTCACTTCGGGCGTACCAAAATATCAGTTGTTTAGACAGCTTGGAACCTGTGGTAAATAATGCTTTCGGCACCAATCCTCAGCAGTATCTCCACCTACTTTGGCATAGCAAGGCTGATCAATACAAGGCTCCCTGTTTTAATTATAGGTAAGTTCTGTTCCTTGGCAACAGGGTCCTAGCTCACTGCAAACATACCTAGTGCATAGCTCTCACCTGCACCTGTTGCTAAGCCGTTCCTGGTTTACACGGCTGCAATGTCACCTTTATTCTGCCCTAGGGACTAAGCTACTTTGTGCTAAGCAAGGTTTGTTAACTCTCTGATGATCATGATTAGACCTTCATCCACAACTCACGCTAAGTACACTGCGTCCATTACAGGAAGCTCTTTTCTAGCACTGAATTGACTCAAATGAAGCCTGAAGCTAGTAAAGTAAAGACACAGGGAAATACCGACTGCAACAGGCTTTCGAACCAGCCTCTTCCTTATTGGCCATGCAGGAATACTGGGGTGTGTATTGCAATGGGCAAACATTCACCAAAGCCTCTAAGAGCCGCTCAGGAATGCAAATTGCAGCAAACAGGTGGTAGGTGGCTATGGCCCATTGTAAGGATCTGTTTTCTCACTGCTATTGACCATGCTCGTTGCTGGGCATGCACACAGGAGCCATATGCTCACAGCGGCAGCAGTGTGCTTCAGCTGCCCGCCCTTTTGTACTGGCCACTCAAGTGTCGTTACATCTGGAGGTAACAGAACCAAAGGTCCTGAGCATGGAAGCCATTTTAAAGGCTCCTTTTGCATTTCAGTCCCAAGCCCTGGGTTCCATCAAATAACTGATCGCTCTGCAATCTCTAGCCGGAGATCAGAAAACGTCTCTGATGAAATTCCCTCTTGCTATCAGGCTCCATCTTAACATTCCGGATACGAGAGTCTTTGGTTCTCAGCACGTGTAGAAGAATCCACCAGAATGTAACCGCCCGTGACACCCCTGCATTAGAGCTCTGTAGGCGGGCTTTACATTCTGTACAGATCCTCTTTCCTGTTGCATTCTGTGGGCCTTTGCAGAGATTTCTATGGCATGTATATTTCATTTCGATTGAAACTGCTCTATAGGTTTCATCCTTCTCGCTAATAAATGCTTGCTCAATCCTATAGGACTCGTCCATAAAACCTCATGACCACACTATCGCTTTAGAACATTCAGAAAACCACCTAGTGATCATGGTGTCCTGAAGAAGCTGCAATGAATTCTGAAAGGCTACTTCGGATAGGTGGCCAAAATCACATCAGCATTAAACTCAGGTGTAAAGTGAATAAATCAACAATTACTTAGGCTCCTGGAAAGCTCCTATGGAATACTGACTGCCATATATCAGATCACTAGCATAGGTAAGCAGAAGTCACAGCTGGAATTTGTGACCAGGCCAGAACCACGTGAACATTTAAAACTGGACCTGTACATAGAATAAATAATGTGGGTTCATTCCTCCCCTCCCAGGATTTCTGGTCCTCCCAGCAAGTCAGCATTCTGCAGGGATCAAGTATTGACTTCAGTGCTTTCTTCTCGAGACATCAATCTTAGGGAACTCTGCTGCCAGCCGTTACTGTAGTATCTGTGCTATTGATTTTATGAGGAAAATGCTAAGTCCCTAAGTGGACTTCACAGAATCAAGTCCACTCCTATCACTGAAAGTGAAATAGGTGATTAACCTTGTTCTCCAAGTCACTACCAGTTTCAATAGCTCCCAGCAACATGGGTATCATCCAAACAACTTCTAGTTGCGGTTAGATTTTAAAATCAACACAGGTCCTCGGGCTTTTTATCTCCTCCTCTCACTGAGATCTGGCCTGGCCCTTCCCTTGTTAAGTTAAGTGGCACCTTTCTATTGCCAGCAACAGGCTCTGGGTCAGATCCAAGCTATGGCACCTTTAATACTAATGATTTAGTCACATTAAGCAGTGATTGAATTCAGTAGAAGGAAGAGTATTTAAAAACCAGAGGAACTACAGGATACTACTGTATGTTGCTCCTTCCACAAAATTGTGTCCAAATACAAAGCGTAACGAGTCGAGCTGGCTGGGTGGGGACAATTCCACTTTGCAACAACTCTCAAGGTTTCAGAATTTGTTTTTGTTCCAAACCCTTTCAAGCGTTTTCTGGAAACAGAAATGGGTTGAAATATCTGTTTTCAGATTGGAAAGATCAGGCTTTGATTCTGATCTCTAGTCAAAAGTGACCAGTGTCTCCACCCTGGAGCCCAGAAACCTTTCTGTTGAAAACCTCGTCGAAATCAATACATCTCCAAACATCAAAGTGTTCCAACCAGCCTTACTTATAAGCAGCACAGTGTAAGTAAATGCTGCACTAGCAACTGGAAACTTCAGCAGCAAGGAGGAAAAACAAAGTTCTAAGTCCAAATGCTTCATCTGGAAGCTCCTACTGCTAGGTCACGGCAGAGAGGCCTGTTTTGGGAAGTAAGTCACACACGTAAGTTGTTCTGTCAAGTTAATTACAGCACAAGGTTTTGACAGATCAAAGTCCATTTAATAAAGGGCCTGTTGGTGGACAGCAGGGGTTTTGGGCTGCTTTCATACAATCCAATCACAGCAGGCAAACGCACGTCAGCATATCCGCTCAGCTCAGCTCCTGCTTGTTGGCACTTGCTTGTCCCTAGGACACACACTCAAGTGCAGGTTTCTTGGAAACAAGCACAGGAAGTGTGTGTGGGCTCCACTCCTTCTAGAACCCCAGGGGTTCAGCACCCCAGGGGTCAATATGGAATGATTAAAGGGGAAACACTTCAAACTAAATACCCTGAATAGGAAGCCAATGGGGAAGAGAGAAAACGGTCATGCCAGGTTTCAAATCAATTATGTTGCAGACAACGGAAGGGAACTATATAATCCATGGCTGTGTCATGCACAGTTCTGAACTAAAGCAGTGAGTTTCATGAGTTCTGCAGCTGGCTAGCTTGCTTTTATATAGCCCTCTACAGCAGTAGATCTCAACATGCTTTAGAGTATCACTAAACCCTAAGGAGTCCGGTGGCACCTTAAAGTCTAACAGATTTATTTGGGCATAAGCTTTCATGGGTAAAAAAACCTCACTTCTTCACTGTCTTTCAGACAGCCCCCCCAACCTGAAGCAAATACTCACCAGCAACTACACATCACAGAAACACTAACCCAGGAACCAATCCCTGTAGCAAACCTCATTGCCTACTCTGTCCCCATATCTACTCTAGCGAAACCATCAGAGGACCCAACCACACCATCACCTGCATGTCTACGAATGTGATATATGCCATCATGTGCCAGCAATGTCCCTCTGTTATGTACATTGGCCAAACCGGACAGTCTCTACGTAAAAGAATAAATGGACACAAATCCGACATCAGGAATGGTAAAATACAAAAGCTAGTAGGTGAACACTTCAACCTCCCTGGACATTCTATAACAGATTTAAAAGTAGCTATACTTCACCAAAAAAACTTCAGAAACAGACTTCAACAAGAAATAGCAGAACTAAAATTTATTTGCAAATTTAACACCATTAATTTGGGCTTGACTAGGGACTGGGGGTGGCTGGCTCACTACAGAAGCAGCTTTTCCTCTCCTGGAATTGACACCTCCTCATCTATTACTGGGAGTGGACTACATCCACCCGGATCGAATTGGCCCTGTGTTGACAGGGCCAATTCGATCAGGTTCTCCACTTGTGAGGTAACTCCCTTCTTTTCATGTCAGTATATAATGCCTGCATCTGTAACTTTCACTCCATGCATCTGAAGAAGTGAGGTTTTTACCCACGAAAGCTTATGCCCAAATAAATCTGTTAGTCTTTAAGGTGCCACTGGTCTCCTTGTTGTTTTTGTGGATACAGACTAACACGGCTACCCTCGATACTTGACACTAAACCCTAGTCAACTTTGAAAATCTCAGGACGTGACCCACAATTGGTGGCTGAGACCCTAAGGGCACGGCTACACTCCAAAGCGCTGCCGCCAGAGCGCTCCCGTGGCAGCGCTTTGAAGTGTGAGTGTGGTCGTGGCACCAGCGCTGGGAGAGCTCTCTCCCAACGCTGCAGGTACTCCACCTCCCCGAGGGGATTAGCTTACAGCGCTGTAACTTGCTGCGCTCAGGGGGGTGTTTTCACCCCCCTGAGTGAGAAACTTGCAGCGCTGTAAAGTGCCACTGTAGCCTTAGCCTAAGATAGTTTTTACTTGGTCCTTACTCAGGCAAAACTTCCACTGAAGATGGGTGAGGACTGAGTAAAGGGCTCAAGATTCTGTCCACGGTAAACTGCCGCAACAGTTTAGTCAAGTCAAAGTGTCCTGGTGTATTAGTGTGTTACCATTATGGAGAGGCTGCTAACTACTAGAAATTATTACTGCAGGTAATCAACATCTGCCCTCTCCAGTGTTAAGCAAACAACATGGTAAGTGTTTGGATACTAGATCACAGAGCTGGAGAGACACTGCCAGGTTCAAAGTCAGTTTTAAAAAGCAAAAATGTCCTTACCTCTGGTGACTAATGCTGAGGATTGTTAAAAGATTGGAAATGGATTTTAAATTCTAGTACGCTTGTCCCCATTTGGGCTGGAGGGTTGGGTACAGAGGCGGCGGAAACTCACTGTGAATTGGGGTCGTGGGGCAGCGGCTCAGAGGTGCTCTACATGGGGAGCAGGGGGAAGTCAAGGCCAGTGCGGGGAAGTTGAGGGGTCAGGTAAAGATTGGGGAGTGGGATGGGTGCTCTGCACGGGGAGCTACTCAGACTCAATGGTGTGTGTGCGTGGTGTGTTCCTGCCTGGATCCTGCTCTCACCTGCTTCTCTCCCTACCACCCCTCATGCATGTGTGCATGGTATAGAGAACGCCTTGCCAGGGTGGAAGCACACATCAGCCTCACCCCCCACCCAATATTTCCATTGTGGAGGCGTTAGCCCCCTTTGCCCCTCTGATTCCGCAGCCCCTGGGACTTTTTGCATTTCACTCAGCTTGGGAATGAAAAGATGGCTCACTTTTACTTTTGTTCTGGTCACTTCAGGTTGCAGCTGCACCAGCCCAACGCTGGGATATGTTTGCACTGAAAATACTACTGGGGGGGGGGAATAATTTTTTTGTTAAAAATGCTGCCGTCGTCGCAGTTAAAGCTATTTCTATTAATATGAGAGACGGGCTCAAGATTTAAAGGTCAGATCCAGATTCAAACTTCACCCACATTTGTAGGTGCTTAATTTCTGGGAATTTACTTGGCCCTCTCTCTAATTAACATTAGGATTTGTAGGCTGAACCCCCATCCCTAGCGGCCACAGCTGTGGGCATAAACTACCTGGCGGTGTCCCTGTAACATAGTTGTTATAGGCTTGATAATGGATCGGGGCACATTAGAGAAAGGGAACAACATCTTTTCTGTAAGAAGTTAATACTTTCTTCTTAGCATGAGGGCTGTACTGCCGTTTTAGGGACTCCTAATGCTCACAGGAGGGAATTCATTCTCGTCATCGAGACACACTGGTCCGGTTGCAAATTCGTGCTCTGGGATAACCTCTCCTCGCAGGGCACCCCCATCTTCTGAGTAACCTGTAGAAACAAAGAAAGGCAAAAGACTAAGGACAAATGAATCCAAGAAGCTCAGAGCTGAGCAGGTAGAGACACCATCTTCTCACTGCATTTGAGCTCAGAGCTGCAGTTTGACAAAGTAGCCGGGGGACCGGGGGGTGTGGTCTTTGCCAGCAGTAGCCTGGGGAACAGATTCAGGCATTAGCGTCTGCAAAATAAGTTTTCTGCTTCCCACCACAGGCAAACCAAGAGGGGCTTGGATAATTTGCTGCAGTAACTTTAACAGCCATGCAGAGATGAGTCATTCATACAGAAGACCTGGAAGAACTCAAAGATGTGGCATTTGTTTCTGTAGGATGCACGAAAGAAAGAGGCTTAACGAAGAAATCAGTTTCAACAGTAAACTAGATCTCATGCTATACAGACTAATGGCCAGGGAAATGATCACGCCAGCTTGTGTTCCCAAAGAGTGAAAGAGTTTAAACTGTAATAATGCTTTATTACTGTTTCACTGTCTTTTTGTTTCTTCAATTATTATGACAACCAAATAATCTAGCTTAAAGTACATTTGCACCTTGCAGCAATAAAAGAGAAGATCCTGTAAAAGGACCTTTGTAGAGGACGTATTTCTGCTCTCAGTGGATATGTGCAACTTCCACTGAATATTAACAGAAGTTGTGCCCGAGTGCATGGAGAGATGCACACCCACCCCTGCAAACTCACTCTCCCTGGCATGCATTCTGCATAAGGAAAGGAAGCAGACTGCTTGATGCTAACAAACTGCTAAGGAATCACGCTCCACGTTTTGGTAAAAGCTTGTCAGAGACTTTGGTCTTGCTGATTTATTCCCAAGAATTAGAAACCAGAAATAATCCTAATTAAAAACACACAGCAATATTTCAGATCACCTTAGATACAATGTTCTGCAAGGCAGCTGTCATGATGGAATAATTTATTTTAAACTGGGGAGGAGATGTGTTAAAGGTGACCGAGTCCATTAGTGCAAACCCAGGTCCCTCTAATAAAAATCTTGTTCTATTGTCTAGTGTGTATGCAAATCTTGACACGAGGTAGTATAAGAGGGCAGTCACCCCCTGGACTCCTGCACCATTTTAGAGCTAGTTTCTGTACAAAGAGGCAAAGTGGTTTCAATAGACTCTGTAGCGATCCCGACGCAGTACCATGGAGATCGGGCTTTTTATGAACAACCACCGTCTCAATGGTTGGACACAGATCTGACAACTGTTATCAGTAACAAATTGTAATGCAAGTGAGGCTATAGCTACGGCTCTTCCCAGCGGAACTGCAGCATAATTTTGATCATTATTAATCATGCTTAGCACTTAGCTAGTGCTCCCTACTTTCAAAGCGTTGGATCACTTTGATGACCGAAAGTTAAGTAAGTATTAGCCAATTCATCATTAGGACGCCCGTGTGAAGTAGGAAAACAACATGTGGGGTTTTTTTGCAGTAAACTGATGGTAATCAGTTTGTCTCACTCCTGAAAAATCAAAAGACCAGACTCTTTAGAGCCAAGAATGATTTCCTCAACATGTCACTTACTTACATTGTTTAGGGTTCTTGGACATACAGCACAGATCCTGGCTACAAGCAAGGATGGACCACAAGTTCAGATCTGGAAAGCGTTCAAAGCTCTGAACAGGGAGAATCTATAAAGGGTGTGGTGGTTATTCCAGAGAAGGGTGGGGAAAAGACATGGATTTACAGACCTAGGTGCTGCCACAGGGCTCAATGCTACAAATGAGTAGGGTGAGTAATACTGAATATTTATACAGTGCTTTTAATATTCAGAGCTCTTTGAAATACACTGTGTAGCTCCACAGATTTATCATTATTAAACCTCACAACACACCCGGGCCAGATTTATTTTACAGATGGTGTCATCTGACGCAAGGAGGTTAAGGGCTTGTCTACATTACCCACTGGATCGACGGGCAGCGATTGATCCAGCGGGGAGTTGATTTATCGCGTCTACTCTAGACGCGATAAATCGACCACCGAGCGCTCTCCCGTTGACTCTGGTACTCCACCGGAGTGAGAGCCGCAGGCAGTCAACGGGGGAGCGTCAGCTGTCGATTTACCACGGTGAAGACACCGCGGTGAGTAGATCTTAGTATGCTGACTTCAGCTACGTTATTCACGTAGCTGAAGTTGCGTAACTTAGATCGACATCCCCCCCGCAGTGTAGACCAGGCCTAAGTGACTAGCTCAAGGCTACAGAGGGAGTCATTATTGGAGAGGAAATTCAAATGTAGATGTTCCCGATGCCCTCTCCTGTGCTCAGCTCACTAGAGCAACCCTCTGCCTCATGCATACATGAGCACTGGCATTTCAGAAGTGGTGACCATAATAAAAAACACGGGGTGTGGGGAAGGACACCACCATGGAACTTACAACGAACTCGATTGCAATGAAAGTCCATCCTGTAGTTGGAGGCATGCAGGAGGGCCCTGAGAGACCCAAAGGGCACTGTGTGAGCATAAGGATTAGCCTGGGTGGACCTGATAGCAGGAACAGGGTGATGGTGAAGCAGAACAAAACATCCCAAGTCATTTCAATGGGCTGCAACATGGAAAGCGCAGTGCCAGGGAAGTTTCTGCCCAGCGATGCTCTGCTGTGAAAAATTCTGACTTTGCTCCAAGAAGCTTTCACCTGGTCACCCTTGCAGAGATGCCAGCCCCTGGGGCAAGCCCAGCTCACCTGGCCTGGATGAAGATGAAGGCATCGTACTTGGTCGGGCTACGGTTGCTGCGTAAGACTGAGGTAATGGAGGCCGGAGGTCATTTTCTTTGTTCTCGTCCGTCTTTCCCGAGCCGAGCAGGCTAATTGTTTTGAAGCAAGAGAAGGAATAAGAGTTAGCCTTGATCCTGTCCACGCCCCTCCTCTGCAGCAGTTCTAACAATGCCCCGGTACAGGTCACAGTGATGGATAATGAGCTTCTAAGTAACATACTCATCCAAAGTTTCTGTGAGAGGCCAACCCTGCTACAAAAACCTTAGGAGCTCACAGAAACAAGGAAACCAAACATGAACCTGAAACGGCCCATCTGGGGCCTGCGCTATGCATTGTCACTGATGTGTGAATTAGCCAGGCACGCTGGAGCATACGTTCGTTTTGTGGGTTTAACAGACAGTGCTTAGGCGGATAGACAGACACATATTCTCTTCCACTCCACCCCAAAGGCTTAAGATTATCCATAGCTATGTAACCCGCTGGGGTTATTCATTTGAAATGGACATACAAATTAAAACTATAGGCGCCGACTCCGTGGGTACTCCGGGGCTGGAGCACCCACGGGGAAAAATTAGTGGGTGCTCTGCACCCACCGGCAGCCAAGCTCCCCTCCCCCCCGCCCCCGAGTGCACCGCGTCCCCACTCCTCTGCCTACCTCCCAGCGCTTCCCCAGTTGTTTGGCAGCGTTAGCACGCTCCGGTAGGGAGGGGGAGGAGCAGGAACATGGCGTGCTCAGGGGAGGAGGTGGGGCCGGGGTGGGGATTTGGGGAAGGAGTTGGAATAGGGGCAGGGAAGGGGGGGGGGATGTGCGGCGGGGGCTCATGGGAGGGGGGGGGGGGGGGG